AGGGTGGCGCGCTCGCGTGCGTGTGCGAGTGTATATCCGTCCAGCGGTTTAAGGTCATCGAGTGGGGTAGTCACCAGCGCAGGCACGTGACCTTGAGGCCACTCGCATTGAACAAGAAATCGTTGTTGGCAGTCGGCCACAGGAGCGATTCGTCAGAACAACCTACATGGTTAGGCTGGCAGTCAGTTAGCCTACCTCCTACCATGGGACATTCACATATTTAAATTGTTTGCATTGTATGGATAGGGAAGAAGGATTGTCGAGCACCGGAGCAATTTTTTAATTGTTCTGAGCTTTTGAACTCTTGCAGGAGTCCATCTTTAGAGGAGACAATAAACAAATTGTTCCGGTGCTCAACAATCCTTCTTCATTACCCATGCAAATACCTGGAACGCGAACGTTTTCATTCATTCGTGTTTCCATTGTCTTAGTGCGATAGGTCGGCACGTGTTTAAGGAGTCAATCGAAGAAGAAGAAGAAAAAGAAGAAGCAGCTGCCATTGTGGGCGCTAAGTTTCGGTGTGAACATATCTATAGCAAAGATTTTTATGTGAAACTAAGTCTTGTACTTATAGATTAGATCTTCGGTTCTGTTATCAGACAAAAATGAGTCGGGGGGTCCAGTGGTATTTACAACGAATAGGTTGTCATGCCGACGGCCTAAGAAGTATTTCCAAAAAAACTATGCCTCAGTCAACCAAATTTAATGCAAATGTGTTCGAACTGCATGTAATAAGATCCATTTTTAAAGGATGACAAGCAGGAAGACATAAATGTTCAACCATAAACTATCATCCTTAAACACCGATAATAATCTTATAATGGTACTCTTAAAAATACATGTCCTACATTTATGCCTTAACACAAGTAAAATTCTTACTTGAATCCAAGCAAAAACTAGTCAAGTTGTCCCTATAATTAGGCACACACGTTTTCTTTAATACACTATTCAAACCTTACCGTTTTTTCATAAAGGAAACACTAGATAGGGGTAACATTAGTATATTCACGAGTATAGGAAAACGTTAAGGAGTCTACCCAAATATTTAAATTGGCATTTGAAGAAAAATACGCAATAATAAGAGGTTGAAGTTACTAAAATTATATGGGTACTCGCTGATGATGAATGTTGAATGTGTTTAGATTAATATTTGAAACAGAGGTCAGTGGCGTCCTTGTTCAAGGCCTTTTGTTTGAAGGTTATGCAACTTCACAGTACGCTATTTCAGACTCACTGACTTTGAGGCCCTTGACCGACTGCCACTTCCACACACGCGTACGCGCGGATAGTCGCAGCTCCCTCAGGGCCATTTGCACACGCCACTTCTCAGCCGAAGCAGCATGGACTATTATACACGACACCCCCTATGATAATGCAACACACACCGGTTGGATAACACTTGAACTTGCTCCATAAACACGTAAAACCAGGTGTCACTACTGTCTTATTCGTAGGCAAGACTGGCCAGCCCTGGCCACGCCAGTGGCCACTGCTGCCTGAGGCAGCAACTCAGGGTTCTGTGCACAATTAGTGCCTCCCGCAGGAGGCCTTCTGTCATTTCCTACAAATTGGGACTTGACTTGCTGATTGTAGTGTTCTGAGCCCAAACACCGCCTAAATACTACGGAGTAAAGAAGACTCCAATATCTTCAGAAGGTCCCGTTAAAAACTTAAGTTATACATGTTCTCAGCAATTCACGAACCCTCTTCTCCAGGTGCCTCGTTGTTCGGCCAATTTATCCTGCTCCACAGCAGCAAGTGGTAGAGTAAATATACATGGATGTGGCCATCAATGGGAGTTGGTCTTTACCTCCCAATCGTAGGAGGGAGAGTTCCTGAAGAATGCGCGTAAGTTCGCCGTGAAGAAAGCGCTAGTGATTACAGTCTTCAGACGTCGTCTTATCAACTCGCTTTTTGCATCGCTTAAAAAATGCCAACGCCAGGTAGCGATCACATTTTGCCCCAAACTTCTGGTGACAGTCGTTCACTCTGTGCAAATGACAGTAATTATCACTCCACGTGCCCGACCCATGATCAATGCTCACAACCTATCCTAATTTCCTCCCCTCCTACCATCCCCCAGCGCCTGGACCTCTACACGCCGACCTCGCCATGTGGGTGGCATGAAAACGAAGAGCTTTAATCAAAAGACACTTATTAACCTTGTGCAACTGTACGACTTTCATTATTTCTGCAATTGTACTGGCCTGATGACGAATTGCTGGAAATATATGTTTGCCAAATAAACTTCTCAAGTTAAACATGGGAACATTTGCAGAATTGAAGTAATATTCGGAACTCCGTAGAGCTAATTTTGGGCGATGTCTTCGATTCATCAACCATGATTCCAATATCTGTTGCATTATATCAAAAGTTTTCCAAACAAAAGAAAAATGGCGCCAGCATTGGCAAAGTTCTAAGCCAAGGGTTTCATACAGCATGGTTGCTTTGGCATTTGTACTCTCTCGTGTTCTGTGCCATTTCTATCGAGTAGCAGATTGAAAGTAATAAGAAAAAAATATATCCTTTTTAGATGGTGCTACTGAGGCTCGTAATCTCTGCCTATTCATTGCAGTCATCTATGTTTGCACGCAAAGGGATAGTATGTATTGATTAGATCAAAAGTTTTCCTTAGACGGCTGAAACCTCTCGGGGGGCTGGGATTATTCTGCCTTGGAAAACTATGTGGTTTATTCTGAGTTCAGAAGAAGAGCAAGGTCTCCTCGAGGCAGTTCCTGTCAAGGTTTTTTCTCCTTAACTTGGTAACACAGGCTGCAATCCAAAGCACAATTCTTACCACCTGACGTTCAGTCGAGGCTGGGAACCATTGCACTTCATAACAGTATCGTGTATATTGCACGCGCATGGGTCAACAATGAGTAAAATCAATGGCAAGAATTACATATATGGCCCTCTAAACCGAACACGGTAATAAGAACGCCCCGCCCAAGTAATATTTCCATGTCTCCGTTCCAACACAAACCCTAAATCTAACTTTAATCCTTACCTAAAGCCTGGCCTTCAGCCTCATCATAATATCCTTGGATTTAGGCGCAAATCCACCTGTATTGCGGACGGTTCCTGCTGTGACTTCCTTAGCCACCCGTGGCCATACGCGACATCTCGACGCCGACAATCCGCGAGGAATCTACCCACGTTAGTCCTCAGAAGACAACAAATTAGAACGCCCCAGCTACACAATGCCGAAGTTCTTAAAAACGATGCCTTGGGGAGGCGATGTTAGAGGCTGATGTTCGTGCATACAGTGATTGCTTCAATAAAGCTGCTCTCTCCTTCTGCCATTTCTATATTGTTGCTGCCTTGCGTAACAATTTTCGGCACACTACTACGGGACTAGGACTGCTCACAGGGGCTGCAGCCGTCTGAGTGACGGCTTGAATGAAAGGTGAACAACGAAATAGACTTCTCTTGTAGCATCAACGTTGGGGACTCACTTCCAGCCTGAAAAGATATCTTTCACTTTGGGCATTCCTCGAGCGTTCTGTCCTCAGATTTAAGTGCATATTCATAGCTTCAGCAACGCCGCTTCTCAATACTGAAAAGTTCTCATTTGAGGATGTCCAACTTTCCCGACGTTCCAGCAAAGTAACATTATTTTCTGACCTTTCGAGGAAAGTGACTTGCTGGCATATTGAGTGACCTTTCCGTATACAGCAGCATGCTAAGATCGTGTTGGACTCGAAAGCAGTCGGGTTCTCAGAAGTAGACACTCCACTCTGTCAAAATAAGAAGGAGGCGTTCGCCGAACCCGGTTTTCTGACCTTTCGAGTAATGATTGTGTCTATCTGTCTTCAGAGAATAGAGAGTCCTGTACGTAGCTGTCAATTTGTAGCGCATTTCGCCTGTTACGTAGATCATCAATGCCGACTGCGGAATTGAAGCGGACGCCGTCTCACCGTGACCTATTTTTTGTTCAGAACTTCGGCAAGGTTTTTTATGGGTTCTCTACCGTTTTATCCTGCATATTTTTACGGAAGTTCAAAAAATGTATAAGCTTCAGATAATTAGCCTTCCCTTAGAGACCATGGACATTAAATTAAGAAAACGTATAAAATAGTTCACCGGGTCTAGGTCAAACGCACTACTTCGAGCGGCGAGTTGCAAAACTTATGGCACAAAATCTGCATTCAATAGTATTTTAACCCTGAGCTAGTTAGATTATTAGCACAAAAATACTAATCATCCAATTTTCTTCACAGTCCATTTTCACAAAGTTTTTAGGTTTTTTCTTTGTTGGTAAATAAACGAAAATGCGAGTTCTCCGAATCGTTTGAGGAGATTCGAATCCTAAACTTAATTATAAATAGGACTGAATGCATTTATATTTTTCCTGTTTTTTGGTCCTAGTTCATGTTACCGCCCACTCAGTCGCACTAGGAAAGTGGAAGGCCGGATTACGCAGCAGAGAGCCCTTATTATGGCGAGGATTATGCAGTGGCCGGTGGTGAAAAGTACAGTCCGGTATTAGGGGATTACGGCCGCATAATTGGAAATCTCACCAGTTAATGTGTGGCCTTTGGAACACAAGTTGAGCTTTCGCTATAAAAGCCACAAAAGTCACTTTCGGCAAACACTTGCCTCATAGAACCCACCGGTAACGCTACCCTTTTGTATCGTCGGTTGTGTACATTGTTGATTTTATATGACCTTCCAGCCATCTATTCCATGCGTTTATACCTATTCAACTTTTATAGTAATATCAAATGAGGTTGCATGCTGGAAATTTTACTTAATTGAGGTTGCAACACCGATTGTAAGACATTTTCCAAGCAAAGTTAGATGATAACTTTTGACTGGGCAGTTTTCCATGAATCTTCTATAAAGATCACACTACCTAAGAGTTGGCTTCTGTTTTTAATTGCGTTTCAGTGCCTCTGTGGAAAAAAATGTATGTTGCAGAAATTTTACACAAATAAATTATGTCCTATGTGCATTTTGTTGGAAACAGTATCTTCTTCACAATTCATACTTCCAGGGAAAATAAACTACAGCTTTTAAAGGGTCTACAAATTTCTCTGTTAGGTTAAACCCAACTTGTCTAATGAACTTGCGCTTACAGTTGCCAAACCATACGGTTATGGCTTTTTTTCTGAATCGAACTCAGGTATACTTTTATGCCACTATAAGGAGGCTTTTTAGCGAAAATGAAAATAAAATTTGATAAATTATAAGCTTCAGAGACATCAGTACTCTACTAACAGTCTTTATACGGCTCCAATTGTTATTTCAGCTTCCACAAACTCACATGATTATTACTTATTTAAAAACTGAAACCTCTTTAGATTTTACTCCGTATTACTCAGCACCGCAACTTCACTGAAATAGTATCTTTGATAAAAATCATACTTTTTTATTTCCGTAGGTGTTTTATGAGTTCCGTTGACTAGGGAACTGGACCCTGGCTTTTTGTGTTATTATGGTTATGCAAGGAACTAAAACGTAAACTACGTGTTCAGTGGCTGAAGAATAATCTAGACCTCGCGGACACGTATCCCCCACTGTGCCCGGCAATAAGTATGCTCACACGGGAATTTTTAGTATACGCCAAGGCTGATGATTGTGCAAAACAACCACTTCACCAAGAGGCCAACAACTACCGCAAGGAGGCAAGAAGATTTACTCACTTAATGGCAGTGTCAACAGTTGGTGTCCCAATTTTCACCACTTTGGTCGAATTTCATTAACAGTTGGGAAAACTTGGCTTGAGTGTGGTGTGTGAAATTAAAGCTTATCCTCTTTGTAGTTTGCATAAACCAAAGTGGTTTTCTACTCGTTGGGATCTAGGTAGCTTTATATGACTGAATTTGCGAGGCCTGTTAGCGGACACACAGGTTAGTTCAAACCTGATTGTTTTAGCATAAAAACCTGATTTAACTGGGGCCTTTTTAGTATCTAAACCCAAGGATTTAGTTATAGCCCGGCCAGTAGAAACCCATGGTTTCCCAACGAGATTTGAGGACAGCAGTTTTGGGTGCATGATTTCGGGCAAAAAGTGGATCGCTAGTCCCCTTACGCGGATAGATGCAGGTACTTTGCAAGTTCAGGTTCTATGCGAAAAAAACCGTTGTGAATTGCGACTCATTCACTAGCACCACCACCACCACCTATACAGCAGCTAGTGATATAGGCAGATGAACATCACCGACAAATACAATGGAGACTGTAATGGCCACTTCTGGCTTATAAACCGTCATAAACCAGCGATATCAATCTTCAGGGATTACAATACCTGGAATTCGAACGCGCGGGCTGTTGGTTAGAAGTCCAACGCTCTAATCATTGGATCCCGCGTTACTTGTCCTATCAGTTTCAATCGGGACAGCTGTCCGAACTTTACTCGATCACTCTCTAAAAGTAAAAGAACTGTGATTGCAAAAAATGCACTCAAACGGAATGTGCCAGTATTTATAAAAATACAGCTCGTTGTCTGACTGCCTAAGAAAGGAATGCTTCCGTTTTTTATAATTCTCTTCGAAATTTAGGTATTTTTTATATAGATTCTTGCATCGTAAAGGGTGGAAAATTTAAAAGACTGTTTAGATTCTTTAATCTTGTAAAAGGACCTAGAGATCTTTAATAAATAAGCAAAGTAGTAGCGTCAATAAACTGTCAAATCCGCCTAATTTTCTGGTCAGTTTATTCGCGCAAACGGGTTAAGCAAGTGTTTTTTTATCCCTATGAAAATCTCGGTTGCTTTATTTTTACTTAATATTATTAACCTCTTCCAGCCACATGACAGTACTGAGGCTTTCATATCCAAGTCATTTTGACAACTTTTAGTTATTTCAAATTACTTTAAATCATGAACACAAAGCGTCACGTAGCTATTTAAAATGCTAAAAACAAGTCATGTTATTTTGCCGTTTTAAGATGGCGAATGCAAACGAAGAAGACAAGTTGGGTGGAACAGCTCTTGTGCTTACTTTAGAGCAAGGATCATCTGGTCTTATAAAGCTGCTCCAAAAATTTCAGGTGAGATAACCCACTTCAGACTGTTTACATTATTACGCTGACTGAAATTTTTACGTCTTTCATTTGGTTTTAAGGCAAAATGACTGCATGAGGAGACCTTGTTAGAGTTCCTGTGTGTAACAGTTCGTAGTGCAATCACAGTGGTAGTTTCCCTGCCGGCCAAATCCCCGGGTCCACCCGTCGAAATTCCGGGGAGATAGGGGGTGATCTGGGGGTGAGGACGGGGTTTTCAACCCGCATATCCCCGTCTCCACCCCCGTCGAAAGTCCGGGGAGGGTATGCATATTATCAAATTATCCGTAAAAATAAAGTCAAATGTCACCTAAAAATGCACTATAGGTTCAAAAATAGTCAAAAAAGGAGTTGGATTGCCTTTTAGGTCTGTCTACAGCATTCTGGAAATTTCGGGTTGCGAAATAATAATAATAATACGTCATAAACATCAACCCCGGATACGCCCGCATCCCCCGTTGTCATCCCTGCCCAGTTTTGGGCGTGTGCTGGCAGGGTTGCGTTATGGCGTTTAACAAATCTGATGCAATGACTGTCCTATTCTACTCAACTTTCTCACAAAAGATTTCGCACAGAGAAGCAGATTCGCTGTTGTCAGTGCTGTTCCCCTCTAATTTTATTCTGTCTTTTGCCTATCATACAGTTGACTGCAAGAGCAACTAAGAGAAATCGGAGAAAGCTTCGTGACAAAATTGCAATATAAAACTTGGAAGTACTACTTAGGCTTCCTAGACCGCCTGAAAAGAACATTTGTCGTATTCTGCACTTTCTCAGCTTTTTCCTATCGGAACCGGAATAGACGTTTTGAATGGTATTTCTTACTGTTGTTATAGACTTTGTGAAGGAGAAAAATTTATTAACTTGGCAGGGTAGCCTTAAAGCGTACAGACGTTTTATATTCCTTTGAAGCTACTGCAAGATTTCTTTAAAATCCGCCGACATAAAATTATTTTGTTCACGTTATTTAAACCCAATAATGAACTACATTTTGGCTCAAATCTTAGATCTTTCTGGTCGGTTGGTCGACAAAATTGAACAAACCTAAGAGTACTTCATATA